CAGGGCTGGGCTTTCATAACCCCAGAAGCCGCTATGTCAGATGAATGGGAATTGACCAGACTTTGGGGGCTTCCAGTGAACGATGAGAAGTCCAGATGGTGAGAGTGCACTGTCTCACAACAGCTGAGTTTGTTTTCACCTTTTGTGTTTTTGAGACAGGGTCTCGCTATACAGTTCAGGCTGGCCTTGAGCTCATTTTGTAGCCCAGGCTGGTCTCGAACTTCCAACGATCCTCCTGCCTCAGCCTCCTGAGTGCTAGTGTTTTCACCTTTTTGGGGATTATTTAGCATGGGTTTTTCTCGTCGTCTTAAAAGCAGCTGAGAAGCGGTTAGCAGAGCAGATTCTGCAGCCAGGCTGGGTTGGTTCCCAGTTCACTGTTTACTTACCTGCTCTGTGCCCCGACTTCCTCATCTGCGAAGTGGGTGACAGGGGGAGCTGCCTTGAGGGGCTGCGGAGGGCACGGGCACTCGTGGAGACAGCTCAGGACAGGGCCATGCCCAGCATCCAGCAGGAGCTCAGGACACGGCCAATCCAGGCGCACAGCTCCTTTCCTCCTGAGATTTGCTGTATAGTCACTCTGTCTTCTCTCAGGAAGTACTAAGGAATTCAGCGCTGTGCTTGTTACCCGGATGATATGGTACAGATTTTCTAGTTCTGTGAATGCTTCCTTTGTTTGTTTTAATGTTCAGTGCAAAACAATGATTACACAAGGCCTAGCCCTCAAAAACAAGTGTCCACTAAACCTCACCGTCCAAGGCTTCTCCTCCATCAGCCCTCACGGTCCTCCCTGTTAGTGACAGCTGTGAGCGTCCAGAGCCTTCACCAGCTCTGTGGAAGTCTTGGCATATTTGTCAGGAAAACCTCACTGTAATTTACGTGGTGCATCCAACTCTTCCCCTCTCTGTTCTTTGGTTTCTTAAAAATTATACTGAAATATTGTTTTCATTGTTTTAAAACCTTTTGAAATTATGGAATACAAACCACTGGAAAGAGTGCTAGGGTCTTTCACTCCCGGGGGTCACTCGAGTCTGCCGCTTGTGTCCGCAGCCCTGGTGTGGACGTCTCTCTCTGAGAGCCTCAAGGGTGCCCAGCCCTCTGACAAATGGACACGCCACTGGGGCATCTCTGGGGCACATGGCTTTCCCTGGTCCACCTGCAGACTGCTAATTTAGGTATCGCCTCCTGCCCCAGAGCACTCCGGGAAATTATGTTGATGCTGCATTTTAGGGAACTCGTTCCAGTAACAGATTCTGTTTGCCATTTCCTTTTCCCCTGGGGGCGAAGGTTTGTGGCTGTCTGTTTCTATGACGTTGTCCTTTTGCTAGGAAATCGGGCCGCCAGACTCTTCCCAGAACCAGCAGAACAGGCGGATGGAGGAAAAGGCCTGGAAGGTCTTTCTTTTCAGTCTTCTGCTTTTGTGCAATGCAGAGTCCCTGAGACCAAGGTCACTAGAGAAAGAAGCGTCTGGTGGACCACATGGATCAGGACACCTTTGTTAGGCTGGCTCTGTGTGACCAGTGGACCCCTTGTTTCTGCCTCAGAGGTAGCGGATGGAGCATTACAATGAGATTAGAGGGGCCGCCTTTCCTCAGCTTCCCCCCTGTAGGGCATCAACTTGGCTTTGGGTCATTCTGTAAGGACAGGTCCCAAAGCCACTTGCCCACCTCCATGCCTTCCTTTTACTCGGTCCTTTTTTGGGTGCATGGGTCAGGTGGCCCTGCAGCCTAACCAGGAAGTACTAAGGAATTCAGCACTGTGCTGGTTAATAGATTCTAGCAGGAAACTAACACGGATTATGGTGATTTATTGGTGAGTCATTAGCTTCAACAAGACACCTAGGGGCTGGGGATTTAGCTCAGCGGCAAAAGCGCCTGCCTGGCAAGCTCAAGGTCATGAGTTCGATTCCCGGTACCGGAGAAAAACCAAAAAAAAAAAAAAAACCAAAAAACAAGACACCTAATGCATGAAACAACCTAAATATTGGATAGGCCACAGTCTTTTTCTATTAAATATGGGAGGACCTGCATTCACGTGTTTAGAGTCAGGTTTTCTGCAAGCCAATGCACTTCTGCCACCATTGATGCCCACTGTTTGTTTTATATTTTATTCACTGCTAAGATGTTTTGGGCTGTAACAGACTACAGGGCTCCCTTTGGTTCTGAGGGACAAATCCCAGCCCCTAGGGACCAGCTGGTTTCAGTGACATGAAGGAGACGGTGAGAAACATGGCTTCATCTGAGCTTCTGGCCCTCCTGATGCCTAGCTCCACACCAAATCGTGTGCTGGTCTACTGCTTCCTTGTCACTCCTCTACCCCTGTCCAGAGGAGTAGTGGATCCTCCATTTCCTTGTTTGTTTGTTTGTTTGTTTGTTTGAGACAGGGTCTCTCTATGTAGTTCAGACTGGCCTTGAACTTACTATGTAGGCCAGACTGGCCTTGAACTTACTATGTAGGCCAGACTGGCCTTGAACTTGTGGCAATCCTCCTGCCTCAGCCTCCCGAGTGCTGGGATTTAAAGGTGTGCACCACCACACCTGGCAGGTTTAGCTCCATTTTATGAGCACATCCCTACTAAGATCCATTTCAACACAGACAGACCAATAAGAGAGATGCCCAACTCAAAGGATGGTATCTCCAGTACAAGGACTTGGTAGACTTAGGATTACTAAGTGAGCATCTATATTTCTAGATGCTCTTGATCATTTATGGTGAAGGGAAATTTGGTTTCCCTTTGTAATTGGTGGACCTTAAAAATAGGCAAAACTACTGAAAATGCACATGAGGAACTATGGATAAACTTGACTAAATTAAATAAACTAATTTATTCCTCCAAGGGTGGCAGGGGACAAAGAAGCAATGATTGAGCACCTTAAACAGCTGGAGGATGTCAGGTCTCTCATCTGCGTGGTCTCCCACTGGTCGTTCCAGACCTGGGCATGCAGAGCCCTGGCAGGTGCAGTGGCCCAGCAGGTGTGGAGAACAACAGGGTCCTCCGGAGTTTGCATCGGCAGGACCCTAACAGACCTCACTTAAAATCACGGCCCGGTGTTACCAGGAATGCTAGCCACTCACAAAAGATAGTGCGCTTAGCATGCCCCGCTCCAAGGAGCATTTTCTCCTTCTTAAGAAGATGGCCACTCCCTCTTTTCTGAAATTGAGACAAATGGATCTGATTAACTTCCTCTTTTCTCTGCTTCCTAGGAAGCTATGTCCCTAGAGTCAAATTTCTTTCCTTCTTTTTTATTATTAAGTTTATTGGTACAATTTAGATAGACGTAATGATCACATTCATCATAGCGAATTGTGCGCAATATACCTCGGTTCCTCTTTTTTCCTCCCATTCCCCTGCCCTCCCTTCAACCCCCTCTTCCCCCACTTATTTACAGAGCTTTGTCTCCATTTTATTCTTATTTTCTCACTTTTTTTTCAAGTTTCAAACCTATGAGACATAATATTCACGGAGCGGAGCATAGTCCTTGCCTGGGTTTCTTTGACTCTTCTGCTTTCATAGTTCCCTTTGCATCGTTCAGTGTACACAGAACCCTCCCAGCTCACAGATCTTTGGTTTACTGCTATTTTGTTTCATGCCTGCGCATGGTAAGCCCCTCACATTGTTGGCAGAATGTGGAGTATTTGCAGAAAGCCACAGAAAATGACATGTTGATTGAATTCAGAGAGGTCCTGTGGTGGTCAACTTGTAACCCCCAGCTGAACTGAACCAGCGGGGTGCTGGGTATGCGAGGCCCACCCGGGGACTGTTGCCCAACAGTGTAAGAGGAAGAACTGGAGAGGAAGAACTGGAGAGGAAGAACTGGAGGGAAGTTGTTAGGGAGCTGTTGGTTCTCTTGGAGGAGCTTGTCGTGCTGGCTTTCTTCATGAAGTTGACTGTTTTCTTTGCTGAAGGAGCTCGGGACTTTGTTGTCCCTGGGAATGGCTGCGGTTCACTTTGGGGGCGCTCTGGTCCTCACTTTGAGCATCGCTTCCAGGCTCCAGAGGGGAAGATGGTGCACTGCTCCTCTCCTGGAGAAGTTTGTTGCTTTGGCTTTCCTGATGGGAACTCAGCTGTCCTGATTATTGGAGGAGCTTGGGACCTCACTGTCACTGAGGATGGCTGTGGTAAATTTCAGGGGAGCTCTGGTTCTTTGAGCGTTGCTTCCTGGCTCCAGTGCAGATCCCTCAGCCTGCTAGCACACACCCTTCATCCCGCTGGCACAGACTTTCTAGATTCCACCACTGACCTTGGGGCCTTCCCTGCGCAGATCCGTGAAACAGGCCTGCACGAGACATTGTTGAGGGCTCTGGGCCTCCAGTTGGACTGATGCAGAACATTGCCGTGGGGCCCAGGCCCTCAGCTCAATTCTTTGGTCTTTAGTGTGTGGACAGATTTCCTGTACTCTCTGGTATATGACTCTTTGGGTAACTATTATAAAATAATCAAAATATGTGTCTTGTATTATATTGTTTCCCTTGGAAAGCCCCAAGCTACAACAGGTCCTTTGCTTCCTTTTTGGTGACATTTGTGAGAACTGATGAATGCATCCTTGTCTACATCCGTTCATGACAGAATGCTACTCTCTGGCTGATTGAGACCTAGTCGCTGGCCTCTGCAGCCACCTTGCCCGAAAGGGACTTATAAGTCAGCACGCTTAAACGTAACCCATGATGTAACTCGACCTTTCAGGGTCTCCACATTAGATAGCTCCTTAAAGAGGAACTGTCTTCATTAACAAAGTGAATCAACTTGAGGCTTTCTAAGGACAATAGACCACGGAAAACACCCACCTCCAGCACCTGCCTGTGGGCCCCCGGCCAACGCCCCCTTCTCTGCACCCCACCCAGTGGCACTGTAGCTGGGAGAGTATTAGGGGGATTCTTCAGCAGGGGTGGGGCCGGGTGGAGCAAGTTGAGCAAAGGTCACCCCCCTCCCTCCGACCAAGTCCCCTCCCCTCCGGCTGCACTCCCGCAGGAAGGCTGCATTCCTGGGCTCTACAGGTGTGACGGTATCCGGGGCAGGACTGCAGAGCTTTGCCCAGTGGCTGCAGAGTAAGTTGCCCTGGGCAGGGTGTTGGGAGCAGTTTCTCTCCTGAGATTTCAGACACATGTCCACTACTGCTGGGAGGACCCTCCACTCCTGGTCACAGCTCCTTCCTCTCCTGAGCCCTCAGGGGAGAGAGAGTTGGAGAAAAAGACTCCCTTCCTTCTCAGAGGGGTGTGCCCTGGTCTGGTCTGTGTGCCAAGGCAGCAACCCATGCCCAGCCACGGTGACTCAGTGCACGGTGCAGGTGCCCCGACACCACATACACCTGTGTGCAAACAGAGCAAGCAGTGTTCCAGCCGCCAGCGCACCTTCGAAGGGCACTACGCAGAGGGCTGCATCGAATGGAGAGGAGTCTGAAGGTAAGCCATAGGCAAGGTGTGACTCCTTGGAGTGCAGGGTGCTGTCGCCCGATGCTGCTTGTTAATCCTCCAGACGCTGAATTCTGATTCAACGTCTCATTTCCTAAAGAAGGTTACACGTGGTGAAGGAGTTGGGAAAGAGGAGAGCGGAAGCGACAGTGTGTCACTTGGGGGCTCTGCTGGGGTTCAAAGCCCAGCTTTCTGACCCCCAAAGCACATGCTCCTCTCCAGGAGGACCCAGGCTGTGGGTCTCCTGTGGCCAGGGAGGGGGATGCTTTTATAGGCATCTGCAAAAGCCACCAGCTCTGCAATGACCACTAATTAGTGACTTGTCAACCGCAGCTGTCTGCAGAGTCCTGTGTGAGAGAGTTGCTTATTTTCTCTTTAGGGTGCATTGGTTTAAGCTCTGCCTGAGTTGTGTAAACCCTGAGTTTCCAACTTACCCTCTTTCCATCCTCCAGAAAACGTGCACGCTGGCCCTCATGACCCCCACTCCTCACCACATGTGCTGAGGGACAGGCTCAAAAGGTCCTGGGGTTTCTTTTCCCTTTTTCCTTCTTCACAAAACAATCGCTTATGTAAACCTGATATGTGATGTAACCACTCGCTCAGAGACTGGATGAAGGGGAACTGCTAGAGGAGCTTCAGAAAGAAGGTGGGGAGAGGCGTACATGTCCCTGTCATGTCCTGGTCCCCCAGTGTCCTGACCCCCCAGTGCCCTCGTCCCCCAGCGCTTTGGTCCCCCAGTGTCCTTGTCTCCCAGTGTCCTGGTCCCCATGGTGTCCTGGTGAGTTCACCAAGCTGCAGGCTGGACACAGCAGCGATAGAAACTACACGGATGGATTAAAGCACAGCCCGCATATTCTTTTTTCCCATTCAAAGAAAAACCATCTTGATCATCTCCAAAATGAAGGGCACATGACCCAGACTTAAGCCTCAGGCAGTGGACAGAGCTCCTAAGAAGCCATTCTTCAAAAAAAAAAAAAAAAAATGAATATGCCCCTGAGAAACTCAAAACAGTGAAAGTCATCAATCCAGAAGAGACAACAACAGAAAAAAATGACCAGTCAGCATCTGAAAAACAAGCTTCATTTTACTAAAAACCAAATGCAAAGACTTAAAGCAATCAGACAGCATTTTTGTTTCTCAGTCTGTCAGAAATAAGAAGAGGATGGAGTGCCGAAGTGGAACAACCAGGGGGCGACTGCCCACGTGCGTCAGAACTCAAAAGACAGGAACTTCTGAGGCAGCGCTTTCCCTCCTACCCAGAGGAAACCCACCTGCTTGGGATTAGAGGCAGGAGGGGAAGCTCAGCACAAGAGATGCTGGCGTGGGGTTCATGGTGCCCACGTAGCGAGGTTGCACTTTTATCTGTAGCCCGTGCGGAGCCCTGAAGGTGTCCGCGGTGTATGCCTGTGATATTCTCAGCGCAGGTGGCCAGGCAGCTGGTTTTCCTTCTGTGGGGGATTTGATAGAAAAGCTTGCTTTTACTCTTTAGCAAATTGTGGTGAACATACTATCCATATGTAAGGCTACTTAAAAAGAATTAGTAGTTTTGGGTAAATCTGCAACGTTGAAGATTTATCAGCACAGTGTTGGAAGGGAAGCTGTGTTCATCCACCCCAGGAGAGACATTGTCACATCTCTACTGACTGTTTGCGGTGAAGCTCCAGAACCTGTCCTGTGGGTCTCTGTAGCAAGCCTGGCTGTGCCTCAACTCTGAGGCCAGCGATTGGTTTGAAATACGTACCCTTCCTTTTCCCAAATAGAGGAAAGGAGGCATAGGGAAGGGTGGAAAAGAAGATAAAATATGATTGAGATATTCTATACATAAATTTTCCCCAAGTAAATATAGTTATTATGTATTGCAAATGTACCAAGAAAACACTGAGCCACCTTGCCCTTTTTTCATACTTCTCTGAGAAGGTCTCCGCTGACAACCGTAGCCCTTACCCTATCCCATCCTTGCACCCGAGAGCGGAGCGTGGGCAGTGGCTCGGATGGCAGAGTGTACCTGAAGCTTGGTGCTGGGGAGCCAGATGAAGGCTGGAAGGACCGGGTCACTCAGTACTCGGTGCTGCTGACCAAGGTGGGACACTGGGTTTGAGAATTGTATTTTTAAAAGCTTTTCCTGTGGATGTGTAGATGAAATGTTGAAAGACGGCAGGGAAATATTCTTTCACGTTCTATCCATGCTGTCCAGTGTGGTTTAAGTGATGATGTAAGTGTTCTGTGACCCCACCCCCAGTGTGGCAGTCACCATAGCCCCTGTAGCTCCTGAGCAGTAGAAACATGGTTAGTGCAATGAGGAAACTGACTCTGAAATTTAATTTAATTTTAATTACACCGGGCTGGGGATATAGCTCAGTGGCACAAGCATCTGCCTGGCAATCACAAGGTCCTGAGTTCGATTCCTGGTACCAAAAAAAAAAAAAAATTTTAATTACACTTAGAGAACAACCAGAGGCGAGTGGCTACATGTTGGATAGGACCGTTCTGACTGACTGGGATTTCTCTTGGACACCAAGTCACCTGGGTATAAAGATGGATTTTGCGACTGTCTCTAGGTTCTGAGTTTTATCCACAAAGTTTGAGGCAACTGTAAGCTTGAGGATGGTTTGTTGCTAATTGCATCAGCTATGAAGAAGGAAATGTGCTGGTTTGGCTTATTATTGTTTTATGTTTAAACACTGAAAATTGATTCTCTTAGAGCATCTGGTTATTTTAATGTTTATATTTCCCAAGAGGAAAGGAAACTTCAGTGAAGCTTAAAGGGCTGATGTTAAACACACCTAGTTGCCACGCTAAGAAAACTGTCATTTTATTTTTTTACTATTATTATATTTTTACTTTTTGTTTTTTTTTGATACAGGGTCTTGCGGTCAAGCTGGCCTTCAACTTGCTATGTAGCCCAGGCTGGCTTCTAACTCATGGTGATCCTCCTGCCTCAGCCTCCTGAGTGCTGGGATCACAGGCTTGCATCCCCACACTCAGAAGTGATTTTAAAAGAGGCTCTGTATAGCCCAATGTGATAGCCTGGCAGAGAGATGCACAGCAATTCTGTAAAGATAGGAATGTACCATTACTAAAGGACAGCAGAAGAAATGGTGTCACAGCTTCACGAGGGAGAGGTCACCAATCCTATGCTTTCTACCTTTCCGCTCCAGAGTCTTGGCCTCCCATGGGGCCCTGCCTGCCCCAACCCAGCCATGCACCTAGCTGCCCACCGTCTGCCCCGGGAACAGGGAAGGGGCTGCTGAGAATGAGGGTCACCGTGCTGTGTCTCATCTGCTTCTCTGTCGCCATTACTGAGGGCCACACTGGCTTCCTGAGGGTGAGTTGGCCAAGGCCCCACTTTCTTCTCCTGCGGGCACGTTTAGAATCCATCCCTCCCAAGGCAGTGGGAACTGTGTAGCTTGATAGACATGGAATGTCCACTCCTGAGGTCTTTTCTCATGGTTACCAGCCTCACTGGGGACATAGATAAATCACCCCATCTCTGAGCTCAGAAGGCTGAGCCGGCCTTGCAGCCTTGGTGTAGTGTGACATGTTCTCTGCCTGGGTGCAGAAAAGCTCTGGGGCTGGCATCAGCAGCCTGGGGAAGTCCTCCTGATCTCTGCTCCCTTACATCCAGGATGGTGGTCTGGATGCTTTCAAGATGCCGATGTCTCTGTCTTAGCCCTCAATTCCTCCCCTGCTTTCTTTCACGGTGGGCATCCTGTAGGTCTTCACCTTTCTGTGCCCAGAACCAAACAGGTGTCTTCACACTCAAGTCCCCTCCCCTGTCTTGTTTCAGCGAGTGGCACCTCCATCCTTCCAGCCGCTTAGGAGAACAGAAAGGAAAAGAAAAGAAGGAGAGCTGCGCTTGATGTTTCTCATGCTCCGTGTCTCAGCCATTTCTTCTGTTGCTTTATCTTTAAAGATGTCCGGATTGCAAACCCTTTCCCACAACCCTAACCCTAACCCTGACCCTGGATCCACATCTGCGCTGTCAGCACCCGCAGTCCCTGACATGCTGGCCTTGCCTTTGTCTTGTTTACTCTCAGTGTGGTTTCAGGATTGAGGTGGCTAAAAAGCACACCGCAGAGCGTTTCCTCTCTCTCACTCAAATGCAGAGAGAAGCCACACCAGCTGTGTCTGGAGGTTCTGACCCCTGCCCCACCTTCTGCTTACCTCTCCGCTGCTCTGGAATCCTTGCTCTGCTGCCATAGCCAGGTGAACCCCCACCCTTGGCCCTTGGTGCCCGTGGTCCCCTCTTCTGGAATGCTGTCCATCCAGGGACGGTCACTTCCTCACCTCCTCTGGGCCTCTGCTCCACCGCACTTCAGCACAGCCTTTCCTGAACCCTCCCGCCATCCCGGGCTTGGATTTCACATCCATGCCTTCCGTTCACCTAGCAACCTAAAGGCTCATGGTGTACAACTTTCTCCAGCCTCACGGCAACATCTTCTCTTTCTCACAGAGAAATGGTGGCTTCAAAACCAAAGGAGAACTCAAGGTGGATAAGCCAAGGCCTCCAGGTGAGACTCTGCCTCATGGACCTTGGTACCGGGATAGCACACCTCCAGCTCAGCAGTGCCTCTGACTGGCTGTACCACTGTGTGTGCATTTTGAAACACTCCAAGTCTGTAATGTGAGAATAGCAGCAATTCCTCAGAGTGAGGAGTTTGCGAGGGGTAAATGGTGCAATCCTGTCTTGTAACAAACCCTCCGTGTGGTGTCCAGAGACTTCCCTCTTTTCCTCCCAAGCATTCGTCCTCAGAGGTCACCAATGCATCTCAGAACAAGCACCCCGTGTTGTGAATGTTTTAAGAGCTGAATGTGTTTCCTCCTGGAAACTATGGTGCACACCCGTGGCCGTTGGGTCCCAGGGTCAGTGCACAAATGTCTTTCTCCCACGCAGTGAGTTTACCATCAACAGCGTGCTGCCATCAACGTTCCCCATGGCAAGCTACTGTGCTCCGGGAAAACGAGATCAGTATTGCAGCTTGGAAGGTCATGCATACCTTCTTCCTGACAGCAAGAATGACAATAAAGATATAGCAAGTGTGTATTGGGCTGTCACTCTCAATGTGTGCCAGGCACTGTTTAAAGTATGATATGGGGCTGGGGATTTAGCTCAGCGGCACAGCGCCTGCCTGGCAAGCACGAGGTTGTGAGTTCGATTCCCGGTACCAGAAAAAAAAACAAAAAACAAACAAATAAAGTACGTTATAAAACCTGAGTTAGTGAAACAGAGGCATACAGCTAGGGAGCTGAAGGCAGGATTCAAACCCAGTCAGTCCGGCTCCAGATCCAGCACTTGCAAAGACCCAGGGATAGGGATTTGCCTGTTTTTGAAGGCAGAGTGAGAACACCAGACTCTAGAAGTGGAGATTGGGTCCTGAGAAGAGAAAGGAAAGTTATTTTCGGCAGTGGCTCGCTGGAGCTTAGTGTGTGCAGAGACTTAAGGTTTAGTTTCGCTTTGCTCTTGTATTTTGTAGAAATTCTCAGATCTCAGCTAATTACTGGAAGGTTCTTTTACAAGGGAAGAAAGGCTTCTTGCAGAATGGGAGCGTGGGGTTTGCATTAGAGCTGCTCCAGGAAGGGAGAGCCGAAGGGTTTCCTTGGTCTCTTCCCTCCATCAGGGGTGGAACAGAGCCCTGGCCAGGGAAGTGAGAAGATAGGCATGTGCTAGGGCAGATGGCTCAGTCAGCGTCCACGTGACAGTAACAAGCAGCACAGAGAGTTGTGAGCCCCAGCACGCCCTTGGCTGCTCCTGACCCCTCTCAATGTCTTTCCTACAACAGAGGGTGGCAGCTGACCACCTTTCTCCCTCCAGGCCCAGCCCAGGAATTCGAGGTGTTACTGCAAGTGCCCTACAGAAAAGCCCGGGAGAAGGAGCTCCTGCAGAGGAGGCTGCTGGAGCTCCCATGGGGGTCCCCAACGACCTGCTTCCCAGGGCCCTCGAGGATCCTGTGGGCAAAGGCCACAACGTGTGAGTCAGCACTGGGCCAGTATGGTGGGGAGCAGGGTGCACGTCAGAGGGCTTGAGGGGTGAGGTGGGAACCATCACCCTGCATCGTATGCTGTGGCCTTAGAGAGTAAAGGCCGGGGTGTGGCTCCATAGTGAACATCTGGCCAGGGTGCAAGGGGCCCTGGGTCCTACCCCACAACTACAAAACCAGCAAAGGTTTCTTTTCCTTTCCGTGCTGCTTGTCCAGTGCTGAAGGCAAAGAGGCTGAGTCTGTGCTTGTTACTATGTCCCAGGCTGAAGACCAGACCCCACGCTAAGTGCAGCATCCTGGGCCATAGGAAGTAGAACCCTGTCAGGGTTCACACGGGCAGCTGCGCTCTGACAAGCCCTAGTTGTGCTCACAGCGTAGCAGCCAGAACTGGCTCCAGGTCTGGGGAGCCCGATACATGATCTTGCCGTGGGCGGGGACAACAGCAGGAAGTGGCCAACGGCACTGACCGATTGGCCAGTGGCACTGACAACCATGCAGTTGGAATTTAGAGTAGTGCAAAGACCCATCTACACCAGCGATGCTTGGGCCATGGAAGGGGCGGGGGAGTTTCACAGATGCAAATGTGCGCGCCCTCTCAGACTCACCAAATCCCAAATCCCAGGGTGTCTGACGCATGGTAATGTTGGGGAGCTGCTCGCTGCTCTTGGGCATGCATATTTTCACAAAGACATCTGTCCACTTGGCCCTGTTGCTCTGTCCCCTAAAAAGCAATAACTTCAGTGAGAATTTCAAGTCCAATACAAAAGAAGGACCATACAGGATGGGTTCACAGAACTTCTTACCATGCGAGAAACCCTGAAAGGTGTCTGTGTCTTTGCCATCTAACTTTTAGGGCCTATCTCGGAGGGTGGATGGAAGGTGGAGGTCCAATAAGGTAGTGGCCAATGTCCTCTAAGGTCCTTTAAACAGCTCCAATGTTGGGAAGATCCTCTGCTCCTCTTTCTGGTTGTAGTGTCATCTTGGGGACACATGTCCTTCCTAGGTGCGAGGCCCGGCTGTTTAGTTCTGTGTCCTGACTCATCCTGCTGGCTCTTGGCGAGAAATACGTGGTTCAGGTTTTGAGTCAGGGCCAAGGACTGAGCTCCGCGGGTTTGGCTAGGACCAGGCTCTGTGAGGGCACGTTGTATCTCTGTGCAGACTGCCACAGCCATGATGGGGGCCTGCGCTGTGCGTGTGAGGACACCTACACCTGGTTCCCCCTCTCCTGCCTCGATCCCCAGCATTGCCACCTGAACACGACTGGATCCCCCATGAGCTGCGACTGTCATCTCAGCAACCTCAGCCGCAGTGTCAACTTCTGCGAGAGAGCAAGTAAGCAGGGAGGATGTTATGTGGGAACCTCCAGCTGACTGCAGAGAGGTTACACTGGCCTGTGGATCCCTGTGAGGAGCTGGTGCCTGCAGGGAAGGTGCAGGGCGGTGACCACACACCCCTTAGGCTGGTCTAGAACCAGCACAGGCTCTGCATGTGCAGAAGACCCACAAAAGCATCGTGGGGTTCAGGTGTCATTGCAAATCCTCGGGACACTCTGCCCAGTTCTGCAATCATATGATGTCAAGTTGAAGTTTAGAGAGACTGGCTCAAATCCCAAGCAGGTGACCGCTTGAGTTGGTAACACTTTTTTCCCCTGACTCTTTCCTCACTCATGGCTGAGGTCAGAGCGGGAGTGTGGATGCAGGAGGGTGGTGCTCTGGTTACACTGAGAGAGCCGCTCTGAAGTGACAGCACATACGGCACTAGTGCATCCCTGAGAAATAAAGACAACGCAGGTGGATGTTAAAACGCCAGCTTAGGAAACCAGGGAACGCAGAGCGAGCTACTTCTGACTTAGATTTGTGCTCTGTGACCCCTGAGGTCGGCCAGTGTTGCGGGTACCAGGGTTTGAGGGACTTTGCAAAGCTTTCGTGAAGGGAACCCTAGGGTTCTGGAAGCCGTGGGTGTTAGTGGAGCTGAGGAAGGTGTGAAGGGAGCATGGCATAGCCCAGCATTACTGGCATCTGTGTCTCGGCTTCCACTGCCACAGCAGTTCAGGGTATGACAGCATATATTCACCAAGCACCGTCTCTGTACCCAGTACCTGGCTAAATTCTAGGAGGACACGAGGAACCATTTTTATTGTTCTCATCTATGAGTTCCCAGGCATGCTGAGGAAGCCAGGTTGTAATAAAAGAAAGAAAACATTGTAATTTCTTCAACAAATATAAAGGAAAGGCTTTCTTCTGAGAGATGGTTCATGCCTGGTTCACCCTGAGGAGATACAAAGGTGGATCAGACCGGGTGACACTCACCAGGTGCTGCCCACAGGACCGTGGGGACGTGTATTGACTACACCTGCACAGACAGATGTTTAGGCAGAAGAGGGAGGTAGAGGTTAAAGTATGGTCAACATGCAGAAGCAGTAAAAAAAACTGTGTGTGGGGATCAGGGAGGGGCTTACAGAAGGGGTGACAGTTGACCAGGTCCTGAAAGAAAGATGAAACACCTTCCCCATGTGGAGGGGCAGGTCAGCAAAGTGTGCTTTGTAAAACAGATTTTTAGTAGAGACAATGCTTAAGTTCCATGCCTAGATGAGCTACATGTTTGTAGATAGTGCCTTGGGTCTACACAGAGTGGCCATGTGTTTCTGTACTTGGAAGGTTGTCTCAGATAGCAGCGTTATCCATTCGTGTTGCAAGTCCATGGTTGAAAACTCCATCTGAATCTGTGCTTCCTGTATTAGTCTAGATGAGTATTCATTATGGAAAAAAAATTAAAATTCCATTGTTAAATAGATGGGCATTGAATTATACTTCTCTAATGTTACGCTGCTAAGAAAATCATATTAGAAAGGTATTGCATCTAAACAATTCTTTCTGTTTCCCATAGAAGTTTGGGGCACTTTCAGGATTAAGGAACCATTTTCAAAAGATTTTTTGAATTCATCTTCTGCTAAATACTCTCAATATGTATCTACCAGCGAAAAGCAAGTAAGAAATTTCTATTTCTTATGTAGGGGATCATTGGCTAAATGCAAGTTCTAATGTTTTCAATTCAGCATGGATACTATGTGTTTTTTTTGAGACAGGGTCTCACTATGCAGTCCAGGCTGGTCTTGAGCTCACTTTGTAGCCTAGGCTGGTTCTGAACTCACAATAGTACTCCTGCCTCAGCCTCCCGAGTGCTGGGATTACAAGCGTGTGCCACCACCCCCAGCATTCAGCATGGATACTTAATACAGATTCGTAACTATTTTTATTCTCAGTAAATTCTACAGAGAAGTTACTTACTTTGTCCACAGCTAGCTTTCCTTTGGACAATTTTCTAGGAAAGAGTATCAGCTGACTTTCCAGTTCCTTTGTGTTTGGTTTTGCTCATGCATTGACTATTACACTCAGGACTCTGGCTTATTTTCAGATTTTTATTTGCCAAAAGAAAGCTTTTGGGGCCTATACTCCATTGTCAGCATTTTGGATTGGTTCCACTAAGAAGATTGTCTGGTTAGAGGCTGAGGACAAGTGCCCAGCAAAACTCTGGCCTTCATGATGAAGTCTTGGGAGTACCAGATCAGTCAGTACCTCTGCCAAGAGGGTGGTGTGGGTATGGTTCAGCACCTGTGAAAATTAATGGCTTGATGTGAACAAGAAAGAAGTAAATTGGGGTAAATTTATTCTATTACCTGGCACCAAATATAGCCTCTATTCTAAGCTGTTGTTGTTCAACCTTTATTACCAACCTCAAAACTGAACTTTGTGCATGTGTGTGTGCATATGTGTGTGTACATTCTCAATTGTTATTTTAGCTGTATTTATAAGACATGCAATTATATGACGATACTTCTAGCAGTATCGTTTTCCTTTGTCTGTTTGCTATGATTGGTTTATTTATTGTCTGCATCCGTTGTTTTTTTTTTTTTTTCTCAAATGTCCTTCTGAAGTGTGAGAACAAAGATCAACACACAGTCCTTTGTTTTCTTTCTAAGCTCAAAGAAGTATTCCAAAGAATTCAAGGTTTTGAGTCAGTTCACGTCACCCAATTTCGGTAAGTAACACAATAGCCTTAGAAGGGCACCTCCAGGATTGTGCCCTGAGAATTCTGAGCATGTTCACCAGCCAGCGTGGTAGAAAACAGGGCAGTCTAGTCTTTGAGGTAGGGTTATTGCTAACCATAATACTTTAGTTTTTTTTTTTTTTTTCTTCCAGTACCAGGAATCGAACTCATGACCTTGTGCTTGCCAGGCAGGCACTTTGCCACTGAGCTAAATCCCCAGCCCCTAACCATAATACTTTAAAAGAATAAAGGTGAAAGCCTGGGTTCTCATCGAGAAGAGTTTAGGAGCTTAGATATTGAAGAAAGAGCTTAGATATTCCCAGACCTGTGGACAGAGAGTGGGACCTGCAAAGGCAGAACCTTAGGAAGAAGCAGGCGATCATGATGTGGACGTGAGAGAAGGGGTAAGGAGTGGGGTGAAAGGTGGGGTGTTGGAGGGGTGAAGGTTTTGTATCACAGCTACAAGGTACGTGATGCTGTATAACTCAAAGCCAGGAGAGCCTTGGTGAATTATTATCTTTTTATGTAGCTATCATGCCTGGACCATGGTTCAAAACACAGTAGTCATTATCTACAGCAAATAAAGAGATATCTAGTAAATTATCCTCTATGTTTTAATTCCAAGAGTTACTTGGTTAGTTAACCATGTGTACATGCATTGCAGTATTCACAGTTGGCTTGATGGAGGAAGTAGCTTAGAGATATGAGAACTTGATCCATGATTATTATTATTATTATTATTATAATTACTAGTATTGTTCACAGTCAAAACCAGTTCCAGGAAAATTTCAGTAGCATTTGTTATAAATATGTCATCCTGGGCTTGTCATTTACATCATCCCATGCATTTGTTCTATCAAGTCCCACATGAATATTTTCCTTCAAAATTCAAGGCTAGGATAATGCTACTCTCTTATATTGAGTCTGTATAATTGATCCTATTTCCCTGAGTGGCTTTATTATAAGATCTCCTAGATAAAATTGACAGTCACATTAATTTCTATATCGAATATTCGTATTTTTTTTTTCCTTGGTCTTGGTGTTCTGCTTCCAATTTACATTCTATTGGGCTGGGATATAGCTCAGTGGTACAAGTGCCTGCCTGGCAAGTGCAAAGTCCTGAGTTTGATTTCCGGTACCCAAAATAAATAAATACATTCTATCATGTATGTCTTGTAAAGCTGTTGCCAATAATTTGTGCACATAACTACAGTCAAAGTAAAAAGGCTGGAAAGACAATTGTATTAGGTTTTCCTCCTTGTGTACGTGACTTAAAACACATCTTAATTTTTCACTGTCCCAACTTACTTATCTGTCCAACAGGACAGCTAACACCTGTGGGACCTGACTGATGCTCATGAAATCCAAGGCTGTAAAAGACAGGAAAGGATTCCGTGAACGAACAGAAGGGCCTCAGAGGGGCTCAGGGACCATCCCTACACAAAAGGTGTCTGGATTCATGTAGGTGTTGTCAGCAGAAGTTCATGTAGGAGCCAAGAACTTGAGCTTTGGAGCCTCGGCTCTAACCTGTGAATTAGTAGATGGTAATTGCCTGACCCTTCACCTCGGGTCTCATTGCCCTTGTCTCTGAGGTGAGGATAATGCAGTGATGATGTCACGGGATGAATTTGATCGGCTACACAGAATCTTGCTTGCTCCATGTGCTCCAGAGCCATCTGTGTGCTGCTGGTCTCTCACTCTTTACTCGAATGTGGCCGATCCCTGAACTCCAGACCCGGCCACCTGGCTGCCAGCCTGACCCCCTCACTTGGCTTCCAGTATGGCCATCCAGGTCCTCCCACTCCTAATCCACTCTGACTTCTGTCTTCCTCGCTCTCCTATTGCTGTTCCCGTGCACCATCGCCAACCTCCCCAACATCCTTTGTTTTTTATTTATCTTTATACACAGCACTGTGCTTAAACCTCAAGGGCACAGTGCAGCGGGCTTTGGCTAGTGTCTGGACCACCCTCCCTGCCCAGGTAGCACATTCCCATCACCCTGTGTCCCCTGGCTCCTTCCTAGCCAACCTCCATGCCCACCTGCTGTGCCCTCCCTACTGGCCTGGCCGCACCACCGTAGCTTAGAATTCTTGCAAAGGCAGTCACCCAACGTGTATGCTTTGTGTCCTGTCTTCTCCCAACTCAGCACAGTGTCTCTGAGATGGATCATTGGTTTTCACAGTACTGTGGCTCTTTCCTTTTAACTGCTCTGTAATATTCCATTGAGCAATACACTCAGATGTGTGCTCCCAGGCCTCAAAGTTGTTCTTGACTGGGTTCTTTCTCTCACATCTCATCTGCTTCATGAGCAATTCTGTTATCTCTCTCCTCATGACATCTCACGTCTGACTGCTTCTCGCACACGTATCCAACTAGTTCAGTCCACTCCACACCTTGCTGACTCATCTTCCTGCTTCCGTGTCTGACTCCTTTCAGTTTATTTCCAGAGTGATGACCTTAAAGAATAAACATGAGCTTGCTGCTGCCTTTCAGTGAAGAATAAAATTGTCAGTAAGGAAGGAAACTCAATCCATAAGGCCCTGTGTGATCTGGCTCCTAGCTGCTTCTCCAACGTTACCTCCTGCCTCTTTCTTTCTTGCTCATTGTATGTTAGTAAAGCTGGTCTTAAAATTAGTCAGATTCACCTCCCCCAGCCCCACCCCAGGACCTTTGCATGTGCTGAAATGTTACATCAGTATTTTTTTCACCACTAGGCCTGTTCTTCACACCACTGGCCTTAGCTTCAAAGATCTCTCACATACAGAAGCTTCCCTAACCACCCTCTTGCCTCCACCTGTCATTCCAACCACTGCACCCATCCATCCCAAAGCTTAATATGATTTGTGAACATGTCCTGGGTGGCAACTCTTTTCTACATGCCCTGCCTGCTTCACTGGAGAGTAAGTCCCATGAAGACGGGTCCCCAGTCTGGTTTGTTCCTTTGGACAGGATGCTGTGCACACGCAGACCAGACCCCGGGTGCTTGCACAGGTAGGAAGCAGGTTCACCTTCCTTCCATGTCCTCCTTGCAGAGCTGGCAGTGTCATTGTGGGCTTTGAAGTCATCGGCTCCAGCAGCACTTCCCAGCTGCTGGCTGCCCTCCAGCGGGAGGCTGCCGCGGCCCAGGCTGCGCTCAGCGACGTGTTTCCCCTGGAAGCCGGCTCCTTCAAAGTGTTTGAGAAAGGTAACCCTGGGCCCCATCCTCAGCTTGGACTGGGGGCCCTTTAGTTAGTAGCTCGCCGCTGCTCCAGTCTCCAGGAATAGAAGGGAGGTGCTTCCGGGAGAGAAGTGTCCTCAAACTGACTTCTAGTGGAAACAGGCGCGTTTCCCCCACCACAATAAAAGTCAGTGTCAGCTGATGTTTTAACGTCTTCTCTGACTTGAGAGTACATCGGTCCCCTCTCTGAGTGTAAACTCAGGAATGGTTCATTGAGTATGACTTCTAACTCATCCAACCCCTATGACAGGGTTTACTTAGGAGCTGGGCTCTCCTGGGTCCTTTCCCTCTGTTTTCCTTCTTTTTCCAGCCCAGTGTCATGGAGCAGTCTTTGGGTTCGGGTCTGAGGATGACGAGTATACCCTGCCCTGCAGCAGCGGCTATACCGGCAACATCACAGCGCGGTGCCGGTCCTCGGGGTGGCAGGTGGTGCGGGAGTCCTGCGTGCTCTCCCAGCTGCAGGAGCTGCAGCAGGTGACGCGTATTTACCGTGTGGCTCTGCGCAGCCCCATGCGCATCTCCAGCGGGCCGGGGAGGGTGGGCATGAGTGGCGGGGGCAGCTGGGAAGATGGACAGTGTCCGGGGTGATGGCTCTGTTTGGGAGGGGAGCTGCTGAGGACTGAGTCAACGCTGAGGCCTGCGACACGCAGTGGGATGGTAGCTAAGCCGCCTTCAGAGCCCAGAGACCTGGGTGTTAAAGATTTCAGTGAGCGCACGAGTGGGGGCAGGGGAAGGTCCGCACATATCAGCAGCCGGGACAGGGCTGGCCAGGCAGGACACCAGGTAGAGTGACAAACCTGCAGTGGGCCTCGATGGGCGCCGAGTGCCTGCCTCTCTCTGGAGATCAGGAAACAAGAGGACCAGGAGCCAGGGGCACTCTGTGAGCAAAGGTATTGAAACACAGTCACACGGGTCCCCATCCCGTGCTGTGGCCCCCACTCTTGCTTCTTAGCAAAGTCCGAGTATTAGACAAGGGAGATGGGGAGAAGGAAATGGACATCAGGACTCGAGTCACAGAAGAGAAGGCCCCCAGGACCAGTGCCCCAGACGCAGCCCAAGCCAACCTCCCCCGGAGCAGAACTTCCGTCTCCGGGGACCTGGCTATTGCAGTAGTGATCCGGGGAGGTGCCGAGCAGAGCTCTGTGGAGAGTTCAGCCCTCCCTTTCTGGGCCTCAGCCTCCCGCCTCTGTAGAGTGGGGCGGGGAACAGCAAGTGGCCACTGTGATCTGTTCTTGCACGCTCCTTCTTCGGCCCAGTTCTGAACAGCGGCAAGGTTGGAGCTGGTTCACCCCAGGGTGCGAGGGGGGCAGAGAGCAGCAGCAGTCACCCAGAAGGGCAACGTGAGCCGGTGGGGCTGGGTCCTGGGCTGAGCAGAGGGAAAGGCCCTTCCTGCAGTTCCCAGCTCAGCTTAGCACAGCAAAAGCAAGAGGACCCTAGGAAGGGAGGACACAGGAGGAGTGGACGCAAGTCAGTAGCCAGCATCCACATGTACCCCGAGGGGATCTGACCTGGACCAGTGCTAGGACACCTAGCTGGGCACTCTTGGGAAGGTCCCCAGACCCCACCAAATGATGCATCATTTCTGTTTCATTAGGATGATGGTTTATTTCAAAGCGTTTTTAAACAAATCTTTTCCAATATCAGTTTCCTTAGCTATGAATGACAGTAATCATAGCACCTCCCTCAGATGTCCTTAAAGGGCCAGGCGTGATAGCACATGCCTGTAATCCTGGCCCTCGGGAGGCTGAAACAGGAGGATCGCTGCAAGTTTGAGTCCAGCCTAGGCTATAAAGTGAGCTCAAGGCCAGCCTGAACTGCATAGCCAGATCTTGTCTCAAAAACACCAAAAAAAAAAAAGTGACCTTAAAGGATCGAACCAAAGACTCTGGGGAAAGTGCTTAGAGCAGTTTTGGATAGGCAAACTCTGAATCATGGCCACTGCTGTCATCACAGCCACTTAACTGTTCCTCAATGTACTGCACCATGCAAATGCTGGTCAAGACATTCGATCACAGGTCTATCAAACACAGCGTTCTATTTTCTAGAGTGTAACTGCCTCTCCTTCTAGAACTTCAGTGCGATTTTGGACAATGCCACCCAGGAAGATGTGTCGTCCTTGGTGCGAAACCTCTCAGTCATTGTGCAGCAGAGCCCATCCACCACAGCGGGAAGCCTGGCATCAGTGGTGTCGCTTTTGGGCACGATCTCATCCCTGTCCCAGGAGAAGGGGTTCCCGGTGTCAAATTCTATGCTGGAGGTGTGTTCTTTGCGGCTTGTGCCTCTCACTGTGAATGGTGCCCCGATGGGGGGATTCTTGGGAAAGACAGGAGCCCTGTTACAGACCTCTTGTAGGTGGTGTTGCTACTTCTGCAGGTACAAGAGGCTCTGAGGTCAGTAGTGTGGCTGTACAGGGAGAGGAAACTGCCCCGGAAAGTTAAGAGGAAGGGTGAACTTCTGTACCTCAACATTTCAACTCCTGCTTGCTGTCTGCAATTGTTCCCTTCTATTGCTGTGAGCTCTAACTTGGCAACCTGTGCCCCACAAACCTTCTTCTTCTTTCCTTTTTTTTTTGAAACAGAGTCTCACAATGTAGTTCAGCCTGGCCGTGAACTCACTGTGGAGCCCAGGATGGCTTTGAACTCACGGTGCTCCTTTTGCCTTAGTTTTCCAAGTGCTGAGCCAAAACCTCTGTTCTCTCAACTGGGACTTCATGGTTTAGTTTGGATGTTTAAAAATTAATTTAAATATTACACTAGTGATATACAGTCACTATTAGCCATGCAAATAAACAAAAGGAAAAATAAGAGACCTGTCATCTTCCCCATCCTAGGACAGCGGTCACTCCCATCCAGGTGTCTCCTTGGGACAGGAACAATGCCTTCTCCCACAAGGGCCGTCCCAGTAGTTTGAAAGGGTGCATTTTACACTTCAAAGTCTAAATATTTCACAACATTGGCTTATGCAATACAAATTCCATGATAGCACGATTATACTTTACTACCTAGGGTGAACCTTTTACTGCAAACAAACTGACTTTCACCTTGTGTTTCAGGATGTTATCAACATAGCTGACCGCATCCTCAATTCGTCATCGATAAGGAACTGGACGATTTTATTGCAAGGGGAAGAGCAGGCAAGCTCCGAGTTCCTAGAGACGCTGGAAAACATCACCATGCTGGTACCTTCCTCTGCTCTGCCTCTGAATTTTTCTCGGAAATTTATTAACTGGCAAGGGATTCCCTGGACCCAAATCCAAGGCAATCGCAATTACAGCTACCAGGCTATGACCTGCCAAGAAGATAATACCTGGTCCACGATAGGCCATGTTTTTATTAGGTCAGACCAATTCCAGTTCTCTGCTCCAGAAGCTATCACCAGTATGGCCTCCATGACCTTCGGGCACATCCTGCCCAAGACCCAAGGTGACCACGCTCGGGTCAATGGGCCCTTGATATCTACAGTTATCCAAAACTATTCCATCAGTGAGATCTTCCTGAACTTCTCCAAGTTCGACACCAACCTGAGCCAGCCCCGCTGTGTGTTTTGGGATTTCGGTCATTCGCGCTGGAGCAGTGATGGCTGTCACCTGGTGACCGAGATTGCAGACACGGTGCTGTGTCGGTGCACTCACCTGACCTCCTTCTCCATGCTGATGTCACCCTCTGTCCCTGCTGCGATTGTCCCTGCGGTGAGATGGATCACCTATGTGGGCCTGGCCGTCTCCACCGGAAGTCTCGTCTTATGCCTGCTCGTTGAGGCTCTGTTTTGGAAGCAGCTCAGGAACACCCAGACCTCGCACACACGCCACGTTTGCATAGTGAACATAGCCCTGTCCCTCTTGATCGCCGACATCTGGTTCATAGTTGCTGTCACTGTAGACGTCACCGCCGGCCCCTCTGGAGTCTGCATAGCTGCCATCTTTGTCACCCATTTTTTCTACCTCTCCTTGTTCTTCTGGATGCTGATGCTTGGCATCCTGCTGTCTTACCGACTTCTCTTCGTGTTCCATCACATGGCCACGCCTCTGATGATGGCCGTCGGGTTTTCCTTGGGCTATGGGTGCCCTCTCGTTATATCCGTCATCACCATTGCGGTCACACAACCTAGCAACAGCTACAGCAGCAAGGACGTGTGCTGGCTCAACTGGTCAGAGGGGAGCAAACCTCTCTTGGCTTTTGCTGTCCCTGCGCTGACTATTGTGGCTGTGAACCTGGTGGTGGTGCTGTTAGTGCTCTCGAAACTCTGGAGGCCAGCCATCGGGGAGACAGTGACCCAGGATGACAAGGCCACCGTCATCCGCATGGGGAAGAGCCTCCTCATCCTGGCCCCTCTGCTGGGGCTCACCTGGGGCTTTGGCATCGGAACCATGGCGGACAGTCAGAACCCGGCCTGGCACGTTCTCTTTGCTTTGTTCAATGCGTTCCAGGTGAGACCCGTGAGCATGCTTTATTACACTCTTGTGTCACTAGAGTAGTGGCAGGGAGCTCAGGGTTTTAAAGTGCTCTGGAGTTGTCTCACCTCCCTGGCTCCCACAAGACCGTCAGGAAAAGTGCATGGGCATAGTGAGAAGGGAAAACAAAATCCATCTTCCCCGCCATTAATGCCATAGTGAGGTAGAATATTGGACTTCTCCAGGAGTCTGCTGGAGGGCTTTAAATCTGTTGGAGTGCACAGAGCTCACGCTAATCCCTCCTGCTATGGCTCCGCCCCTTTCTCTTGTGCAGCCCTCTGAAGTGGTGAATCTGTCAAAAGTACTGCTGACACTGAAAGGTACCAAGGAAATTCTTCCAGTATGATGAGTATTGACTGGCAACCTGCTACAGGTGGCCTGTTTTTGTAAATAAAGTTTTATTGACACACATCTGTGTCCACTGGCTACATGTGGCCCATGGCTGGCCTCCCTGCAGTGGCAGCAGAGACCTGCAGAGATCTGCAAAGACTGGCACACTCACCGTCTGGCCTTCATAGAAAGTAGTTTGCTAATCCGTGCTGCCGGAGCATGTTCTAAGTGGGTGGTGCTGTACGGGAGAAGCCTTCTACCCGTCTTTGAGGCGAGCATTGCCTCGGGCCGCCTGGCCCAGTGACTTGGGGAGATGGTGGCTGATGTCTGGGCTCTTGGATTAAGTACGTCTCCACTCAGGTGATTTGCAGAAGGTCATCTTTGTGACCCCAGCCAATGCTTTAACCTTGCTATCCCTCAACTCTGTCCTCTGTAAAGTAGCAAAGATGATGTTACGATGTCATGGCGTGGATGTGCGGATTCAGTGAGGTAGTTTAGCAGTTGGCACAGAACTTGGCCCTCCCATGAGTCACCTAAAAGTGGCTGCTTCTCTGTCTTCGAGCACAGCAGGGCATGTACAGGTGGCATAGCATGGGGGTCATGGCTCAGAGCCTGGGTTCGAGGCACAGGTCCAGGAGCCCCCATCGGGGTGAGGGATAAAGCGTGAGAACAGGCACCACACAAGGCTCTGTGAAGGGAGTTGGAGCTCAAGGTTGAAGGTGGCCCTCGCCAGGGTTTCAAGACAGGGCAGCTCCCTCCACACGATAATAAGGTGGGCCCAGTGCCTGCTCCACTGGAGGTGCAGAGAGGACATATATTAAATGCCTGCTGCATAAACGATGCCAAGGGAAGCTATCAGTTTAGGGCCAGGATTGACCTAGTGCAGAGAATGAAGCTCAGTGTACATTAGAAATGTCATCCTCTCAGGCCAGGCATGGTGGTGCACGCCTGTAATCCCAGCACTTGGGAGGCTGAGGCAGAAGGATCTTTGTGAGTTTGAGACCAGCCTGGGCTACAAAGTGAACTCAAGGCTAACCTGAACTGCATAGTGAGACCCTGTCTCAAAAAGACAAAATAAAATAAAATAAAATAAAAGGAATGTTATCCTCTCCAAGATTGCTTCTTTGTGCATTTTTGAATAAAAACCTTTGAGTCCTTGTGTTGTGGAGGCTACACAGTGTGCCTGCCTGCAGGGAGACCAAGCAGGAAGCAAGGCTGGAGCTGGGTGGTACAGCAGGATAGCGCCATGTATGGACACCTTTTCTGGAAAAGAAAAATATTGTAAGTGTGATTAACTCTTTTTTTTTTTTTTTTCTTGTTATAGGGCTTTTTCATCTTCTGCTTTGGAATACTCCTGGATAACAAGGTGTGTCACATCCAACCTCTCTCTGAAGCCCGTCCTCCCATCCTGAGACCTTTACCATACAGTAAGGGTTGGATGGCAGGCACTTTTGCAGCAAAATTCTATCATTGTTCCAAAGACATATGCAGCCAGAAAGCAGAGGAACTTTTTTTTTTTTTTTCCAGTACTAGGAATCAAACTCACGACCTTGCACTTGCCAGGCAGGTGCTGTGCCGCTGAGCTAAATCCCCAGCTCCTAAAGCAGAGGAACTTAATGTCACTGCTGATAAAGCCATAAAGATTCAACCTCGACATGCAATGGGAACATTATAGAAAAATAGAGAATCCTTTTCACATTTACATTTCCTGATTTAAATTATGGTTTGATAGTGATTCAAGAGGAAAATCCCTTCCTAAGGGGCGAATTTTCTTTTGAGCTCACAATTAGTTTTTTTGTGTGTGTGTGTGTGTGTGTGTGTGTGTGTGTGTGGTACTGGGGACTGAACCAGGGCCTTTACCCTGAGCTATATCCCTAACCCCATTTTTATTTTTTATTTTGAGACAGTGTCACACTAATTTGCTAAGTTGCTCAGGCTGGGTTTAAACTTGCAATTCTCCTGCCTCAGTTTCCCAGAGTGCTAGGATTAAAGGCATGCACCACCATGCCTGACTTATTTACTTATTCAGAACATGGTGAAAGTATACCTGTGCTTTATTTCTAGAATTTTATATACTAAATGTTAAGTAATATTTCACATTAAATAAAATGAAGTCCTAATGAAGGACTATCAGTTTAAGTGAAATATAAGAGAAAAAAATTTAAAGGAACTTGTTTCATTATTTCCCCCTAAACTTTGAGTGTCTCCACTGAGAGAAGCAATAGCAGTAAGGTCATTGATGTGGAGTCACTTTTAAAAAGGAGATGAGAATGCCAGGTGCAGTGGCACACACCAATAATCCCAGCATTCAAGAGGCTGAGGCAGGAGGATCACTGCAAGTTCAAGACCAGCCTGGGCTACAAAGTGAGCTCAAGGCCAGCCTGAACTGCATAGTGATACCCTGTCTCAAAATAAAGACAAAAAAAATAAATAAATAAAAAGGAGACGAGAATATTTTATAGTTAGTGCAACTGCTGCACACCTTATTTATACAGAGGGAATTTGCTGCTCTAATTGCACTAAATAATTTCCTGGTATGTGTCACTTACATGCTTGGGGACTCCTTCATTTCCTATAAACTCCAATTTAGTAATTACTGCCAACTACTGATGTCTATAGATTGAGTTATTATTGTTTAATTCCAGTTTTGTTTATAGCTAAAGAGAATAAGAAAACAAACTTTTATCAACCATTTATGCCCATGGTCTATCAAGTGCTTCCAGGAAATAATACCATTAAACACCACTTTCAACCCGAAGTTTCTTCTCAGCATGTTTATGTGTGGCTATACCGGTGTGTCTCTTCAACAATTCTGTCTTGTCCTTACAGCTGCGGCAGCTTCTGTTCAAAAAGTTGTCTCCGTTAAGCTCTTGGAAGCAAACGTCAAAGGTAATTACTGCCTGCTTCCGGGGTTGAAGATTCAGCTTCAGACTTTTTGGTGTGCAGTCTTGCAGCTGGCCTATTTCTGTGCAGGGCCCTTGAGTTTCTGTCACTATTCTATTCTTGCTGTCGGGCAAGGTGCCTGGCACACAGTCGGTGCTCCGAGTGGATGAATGTAACAGCGTGGAGCTGACTGTAGGCCTGGGTGTTGAGTTGTGTGAGTGCTCAATGGAAATGAGGCCTTTAAACTCTCATTTGCTTTAACCCCTTGCACCTTTAGTCCCTAACTCTACAATCTACAGCCTGGCAAGTTTGTATGGGAGTAGATGTCTGCTTCATTCTTTGCCACACAAGTGCCATCTACAGTAGCATTCAAGGCAAAAGTACTTGCCTGTGTGTTTTCTGTTTTCAAGTTTGAGTTAGATTTTTGGGTTTCAGCAAGACAGAGGTTCTAAAGCAGAGATTTCCGTGTTTGATAACTAGCCAAATGACTTAACTACATCCAAACTTGGGTGTTTAGAGAGTTTTACAACAACAATACAAGCTTTTAAAATGAAAGTCAATGAGAAAATCCATCCTCTGCTTTATGAAATCTTCCTGGTCTGCACCCATAGCAGACAGCACTGTTGCAAGGAATGGAGTGGTGGCCCGGGGCCAGCAGACCTGCCCTGGATTCTGACTTTGTGCCCAGTTGGCTGAGTGATCTTAGGAAAGTTCCTTCATCTTTGAGTTTCAATTTTCTTAGTCATAAAAATTAAGTGGTGAGCTAGTAACTCAAAGAAGTTCTAACATTCTGAAGTTTTATGTCTTCAAGAACTAAAATCCTTTGAACCAGGAAATGCAAAACTAATGTCATTATCTACTGTTATGAAAAGGGGGAAGTTACAGAAAAGAAAAGCCTCTGGTAAATAAAAATAAGACAGGATACTCTCCACCCTGTAGAGCAGGAAGTCAAAATTTTTCTCCTTTGAAAAATCAAAAAGAGAAAAACACCCGGAAATGAAATAACAGCAGAAGCAAAAATCCTCAGCAGTGCTCCACCCTGTTTCTAAGGTGGTATGGACTTTTTTTCAGGAGGCAGAGTGGTCAGGGAGGGCTTTGCTCATTTGCATTCATATGCTGCCTCTCCAGTTTTGTTTTCAAGTTGAGTGATAAAAATGATATTTAGTTATCTGGCTAAGTGACTCATTTGCTTTAAAACAAATATCTATTTTGTATAGGAAAAGAAAAGTGCTGTAACTGTCTGGGGAAGTTTGAATGAAAAATCAAGAACTCAGTTTATGGATGATGGGAAAAGACGGGCACCAACTTTGCTGTCGAGAAATCACTTGTCATTGAAGGGAGTGAGGAAGGGAACCAAACACAGGAGCAAGAGTGACATGAGACTTATTGCCAGGATGTGAGCAAAGCCATATGTTGGGAGGGATGAGTCAGCTGAGGCAGAGCTTAGAAACATGGGACAGTGAGGACAAAATAGACATGGGAGAACTCTAGCAAAGAGACTCAGTGGCTGTCCTGAAGATGAGGATTAGCCTCTTTCAACATGGAAAGTGTCACACTGATACAGATAGAGCAACTTGCACAGACTGAGGTCATGTGTTCAGTGTTCAGTAAGGAATAGCAGAAGGGTGATGAGGTAGGGATCTTGGGAAGATTCATGAACAGGTGATGTTTGTCCAAAGGGAAGCCAGCAATGTTCTCAGCAAAGACCATCCTTTAAGCCACAAAGCTGTGTGGACCCCAGAAATGGTTTCTTTCAAAATTCTGTCCATCCTAAGGGCTCCTATGCCCATTTCTGAACAACGACTGAATTTACACAGCTGCTTTTTAGTTCCAAAAGGAAATTCAGGTCCTGTGGTTTGACAGTTTAGAGCCAGATGGCTTTACATGCCAGGGAAGCCTGCTTCCTCCCAGAGCAAACAGAGCTCCTGGGTATTCTGCAACCTAAGACTATTCTCTCCACAGGGGCAGGACACAGTTTAAAAAGCAATGTTCCTTTAAGATTCTCTCCAGGATTATATCATTACATGAGCCTTGAATTTGGGAAAATTAACTTGCTTTGAAAGTTTTGGACCAG